ATGGGGTTTGTTTTATTCCCCCCCCAGAGCTTCCACCAATTGTGTTGCCTCTCTCTGGACTCGTTCTATCTTATCAATATCTTATTGTATTGAGATCTCCAGAACTGGACACAGTATTCTAAACGAGGTCTAACTAAAGATGTATATAGAGGAATCAGGACCTCCTTCCTCCTGCCGATGACCCCTCTAGTGATATAAAGATCTATATAGAGAAATCAGGACCTCCTTCCTCCTGCCGGTGACCCCTCTAGTGATACAAAGATCTATATAGTGGAATCGGGACCTCCTTCCTCCTGCCGGTGACCCCTCTAGTGATATAAAGATCTATATAGAGGAATGAGGACCTCCTTCCTCCTGCCGATGAACCCTCTAGTGATATAAAGATCTATATAGGAATCAGGACCTCCTTCCTCCTGCCGGTGACCCCTCTAGTGATATAAAGATCTATATAGAGGAATCAGGACCTCCTTCCTCCTGCCGGTGACCCCTCTAGTGATATAAAGATCTATATAAAGGAATCAGGACCTCCTTCCTCCTGCCGATGACCCCTCTAGTGATATAAAGATCTATATAGAGAGAATCAGGACCTCCTTCCTCCTGCCGGTGACCCCTCTATGTGATATAAAGATCTATATAGAGGAATCAGGACCTCCTTCCTCCTGATAGTGACCCCTCTAGTGATATAAAGATCTATATAGAGGAATGAGGACCTCCTTTCCTCCTGCGGTGACCCCTCTAGTGATATAAAGATCTATATAAGAGGAATCAGGACCTCCTTCCTCCTGCCGGTGACCCCTCTAGTGATATAAAGATCTATATAGAGGAATCAGGACCTCCTTCCTCCTGCTGGTGACCCCTCTAATGATATAAAAATCTATATAGAGGAATCAGGACCTCCTTCCTCCTGCCGATGACCCCTCTAATGATATAAAGATCTATATAGAGGAATCAGGACCTCTTTCCTGCTGTTGGTGACCCCTCTAGTGATATAAAGACCTATAAAGGAATCAAGGACCTCTTCCTCCCCACCGATGACCCCTCTAGTGATATAACTAAACCTATATGAGGAATCAGGACCCCTGCTGGTGTGACCCCTCTAATAATATAAAAATCTATATGAAGGAATCATGGGACCTCCTTCCTCCTGCTGGTGATCCCCCTCTAGTGATATAAAGATCTATATAAAGGAATCAGGACCTCCTTCCTCCTGCTAGTGACCCCTCTAGTGATGCATCCTAGAATTCTATTCACTTTTCCCACTTCATGGGTACACTGGTTGTGCCCATTTTGCAAACATCTGAAATAAGTACCTTCAAAATTTTTTTTGTCCTTCTGTAGAGCTGGCCAGCACTATACCCCCATTGTAACTCTCTCAAGGGATTCTTTTTCCCGAGGTGCATTATTTTATCTTTAGAAACATTAAACTGCAGTTTCCACAGTTTTGACCGATCTTCCAGCAATGTCACATCTAGTTCCATGTTACAGACTCCTCCAAGGATATTATCCCTATTGCACACCTTTGTGTCCTCAACAAGAAGACGTCCCCCTTACCCAGCAACCCTTCAGTTGTATCACTTACATATAGATGACATAGAACAGGACCCAGTACAGAGCCTTGTGTACACCGCTAGTGACTGGTCTCTGTTCCACATGGACCCCATTTACAACCACATTCTGCTATCTATCCCTTAGCCAACTGCACATCCATGGAGCCCCCCAAGGGTTAAGTCTTAGCTTTTACCACTTTTGTATTAGATCATTATGTGGAACTGTACCAATGGCTTGCTGAAACCAAGATGTGCCATGTCCTCAGCACCACCCTGGTCCAAACAATAGTGATAAAGTCATAGAATCCAATCAGATGAGTCTGCCATGATCTCCCTCAGTAAAGCCATGCTGCGTCGGGTCCAGCAAGTTGTGTGATTTATGTGGTCAATGATCCTTCTTTTCAGGAATCATTTCACCAACTTGACTAAAACTGAACTCACCGGCCTGTAATTGCTTCTACCTCGCTGCTCTTCTTGTGGTTACAATATTAGCTGTCCGCCAGTCATGGGGAACTTCTCCTGTTAGAAGAGATTGATTCTAAAGATCCATGAATAGTCCCACAACTATACCCTAAAGTTCTCCTAGAACTCTGGGATGAATACCACGAGGGCCCGTTGCTTTTATCAGCTTTGAGATTGAAGAAATCCTGAATATGCGCCATCATTACACCAACCAACACCATCTCCCAACTTGGGATTGTTAGTACAATTTATTTCTGAGAAGACTAAACAGAAGTAATTGTTTAACCCCTTCCGGCTGCCGTCTCCCGGCCCTTTAAGAGGTTCTAAATGAGGGGAGGTGGAGGCCAGCATTCTGATCATGTGACCAATGTGATCCGCAGTGACAGCGGTCACATGATCAGAAAACTCCCAATCGCAAGTAGGCATTGGGAGCTTTCCTGTACCTGCCAGTAACTGTGATTGGAGCGTGCAGGGCACGTGATCTCAGCACAGAAATGTTTACATTCGGGACACATTCAGCCCTTTCGGCATTGAAGGTCAACTGCTGAGAGGCCATGTATGCATACGGCCGGCGGGTACATGTTACATCACCTCCCCCAACATAAGTGTTGTGTCTACTTTTCATGTTAGTGATCCCATTGTCAGGGCCGTCTTTAACCACTTGTCCTCCTGAGGATTTACTCCCTTTAATGACCACGCTTCTTTTTGCTAATCGGCGCTGCACTATTTCAACTGATAATTGCGCGGTCATGCAATGCTGCACCCAAACAAAATTTATGTCCTTTTTTTTCACACAAATAGAGATTTCTTTCGGTGGTATTTGATCACCTGTGTGCTTTTTATTTTTCATGTTATAAACAGAAAAAGACAAAAAGAAAATTTTTTTGCACTATAAATAACAAAAGACTGAATATTTTGAAGAAAAACAATATTTTTTACTTTCGGCTATAAAAAATATATAGTAAACTCAAAGTTAGTCATAAATTTAGGCCAAAATGAATTCTGCTCCATGTTTTTGGTAAAAAATCCCAATAAATTTATATTGATTGCTTTGTGTGAAAGTTATAGCGTCTACAAACTATGGTATAAATACTGCAATTTACACAGCTTTTACTTTCTGACTGCCCATCACAATTCTTTAGGTGCTAAAATACCAGGACAGTACAAACACCCTCAAATGACCCCTCTTGGGAAAGTAGACACCCTAAGCTATCTGCTGAGAGACATATTGGGGTTTATTTACTAAAGCTGAAGAGTGCAAAATCAGACTCCCTTCTGCATAGAAACCAATCAGCTTCTAACCTCGGCTTGTTCAATGAAGCTTTGGCAATGAAACCTGGAAGCTGATTGATTTCTATGCAGAAGGGAGTCTGACTTCGCACTCTCCAGCTTTAGTAAATAAACCCCATTGAGTCCATGGAAGATTTATTTTTTCCCCACAAGTTTTTTTTAACACAAAGTTGTCATTTTTAAATGATTTATTTCTCGCACAAGCCATGGGTATATGTGGAATTACACCCTAAAATACATTCTGCTACTTCTACCGAGTATGGGGATACAACATGTGTGAGACTTTTTGGGAGCCTAGCCACATACAGGAGCCTGAAATCCAATGACCACATTGAAAGCCTGAAGGTGGGTAACTTCCTCATTTCACTTCCTCACTACCGTTTTGGAGGCTTGAAATGCCAGGATTTCACCAAACCCCCCCCCCCCCCCCTCAAATGACCCCTCTTTGGAAAGTAGACACCCCAAGGAATTTAAAAAGAGGCATGGTGAGTATTTTGCAGATCTTTTTTCTCACAATGTTTTGAAATATAAAAAGAGAAAAGAAAAAATGTTTTTGTTTTCTTTCTTCATTTTCCAAAAAACTTGTGGCAACAAATAAGATCTGAAAAATATTCACCATGCTTCTTATCAAATTCCTTGGGGTGTCTACTTTCCAAAAAGGGGTCATTTGGGGGGGTTGGTGCTATCCTGGCATTTCAGAGCCTCTAAAACTGTGATAGGTAGTCTGGAAGTGTAATGAGGAAAAAAAGCTCTTTAAAAGCCTGAAGGTGCTTATTGGATTTTGGGTTCCTGTACTTGGCTAGACTGCCAAAACGTCTCTCACATGTGGTACCCCCATACTCGGGAGAAGTAGAAGAATGTATTTTGGAGAGTAATTCCACATATACCCATGGCATGTGTGAGCAATAAATGTTTCTCCAAAGTTTGAAAGGAAAATAGGGGATGCTGTTAAGTTAAATAGTTCTAAAGTAAATTGAAAGTTAAAAAATGAAAAAAAAAGTGCAATTAAAAAAAATTTAAAATGGTCAAAAAATAAAAAAAATAACAAATGACAGACATCAATTTGATGAATGTTGTTTTTTCAGCAGACATCCACTGAAAATATTAAATTTATGTGACTTTAGATCTGTGCTAATAATTGTTGGTATTTTCAATGTAAAAAAGACAAGTTGTATAGATTATTATTTTCTGGAAAATAGTTTTTTTGGGGGGCTTGAGAAAATAAAGACCGGTAATGCCAGACATCAATTTGGTGAACATCGATTCTTCAACAAAGCTTTACTGAAAATGATAATTAGATTCAAAGGTTTTGCAGAAAACATGACTCGGTCTCTTATTATTCTAAACAAATGTAATAATTATTCTTGTAAAATGTCAGATCTTGGTGGAAAAATAAAATTGCTGCATAATTTGAGGTTAAAAAAGTTATTAAAAAAAACAAGTCAAAGCAATGGTGAATAAGTCCAACATGGTAAAGTATTTGCATTAAATAACAAAAATAATAATAATTTCAATGCATTTCAGGGGTTCAAACAATCACTCTTCTTAAGGCTTTTTCAGGCCTCTCAGGAAACAGCAAGATAATGGAAAAGTTCCTACAAAATAATAACAGAGAGTGTGGATGGGGGAGGAGAGCTGTCAGAGAATGTAGTGTGGATGGTGGAGGAGAGCTGTCAGAGAATGTAGTGTGGATGGTGGGGGGAGGAGAGCTGTCAGAGAATGTAGTGTGGATGGTGGGGGGAGGAGAGCTGTGGGAGAATGTAGTATGGATGGTGTGGGGGAGGAGAGCTGAGGGAGAATATAGTGTGGATGGTGGAAGAGAGGTGTCAGAGAATGTAGTGTGGATGGTGGGGGGAGGAGAGCTGTGGGAGAATGTAGTATGGATGGTGGGGGGAGGAGAGCTGAGGGAGAATGTAGTGTGGATGGTGGAGGAGAGCTGTCAGAGAATGTAGTGTGGATGGTGGAGGGAGGAGAGCTGTCAGAGAATGTAGTGTGGATGGTGGAGAGCTGTCAGGGAATGTAGTGTGGATGGTGGAGAGCTGTCAGGGAATGTAGTGTGGATGGTGGGTGGAGGAGAGCTGTCAGAGAATGTAGTGTGGATGGTGGGGGAGGACAGCTGTCAGAGAATGTAGTGTGGATGGTGGGGGAGGACAGCTGTCAGAGAATGTAGTGTTGATTGGTGGAGGGAGGAGAGCTGTCAGAGAATGTAGTGTGGATGGTGGGGGGAGGACAGCTGTCAGAGAATGTAGTGCGGATGGTGGGCGAAGGACAGCTGTCAGAGAATGTAGTGCGGATGGTGGAGGAGAGCTGTGGGAGAATGTAGTGTGGATGGTGGAGGGAGGAGAGCTGTCAGAGAAGGTAGTGGGATGGTGGGGGGAGGAGAGCTGTCGGAGAATGTAGTGTGGATGGTGGGGGGAGGACAGCTGTCAGAGAATGTAGTGCGGATGGTGGGCGAAGGACAGCTGTCAGAGAATGTAGTGCGGATGGTGGAGGAGAGCTGTGGGAGAATGTAGTGTGGATGGTGAGTGGAGGAGAGCTGTCAGAGAAGGTAGTGTGGATGGTGGGGGGAGGAGAGCTGTCGGAGAATGTAGTGTGGATGGTGGAAGGAGGAGAGCTGTCAGAGAATGTGCTGTGGATGGTGGAGGAGAGCTCTCAGAGAATGTAGTATGGATGGTGGAGGAGAGCTGTCAGAGAATGTAGTGTTGATGGTGGAGGAGAGCTGTCAGAGAATGTAGTGTTGATGGTGGAGGAGAGCTGTCAGAGAATGTAGTGTGGATGATGGAGGAGAGCTGTCAGAGAACGTAGTGTGGATGGTGGAGGAGAGCTGTCAGAGAATGTAGTGTGGATAGTGGTAAGATGTTTAGAGTATGTAGTGTGGATGGTGGAGGAGAGCTGTCAGAGAATGTAGTGTGGATGGTGGGGGGAGGAGAGCTGTCAGAGAATGTAGTGTGAATGGTGGAGGAGATCTGCCATAGAAGGTAGTGTGGATTGTGGGAGGAGATCTGTCAGAGAATGCAGTGTGGATAATGGAGGAGAGCTGTCAGAGAATATAGTGTGGATGGTGGGGGAGGAGAGCTGTTAGAGAATGTAGTGTGGATGGTGGAGTAGAGCTGTCAGAGAATGTAGTCTGGATGGCGGAGGTGAACTGTCAGAGAATTTAGTGTGGATGGTGGAGGAGAGCTGTGAGAAGGTAGTGTGGATTGTGGGAAGAGAGCTGTCAGAGAATGTAGTGTGGAAGGTGGAGGAGAGCTGTTAGAGAATGTAGTGTGGATGGTGGAGGAGAGCTGTCGGAGAATTTAGTATGGATAGTGGAGGAGAGCTGTCGGAGAATGCAGTGTGGATGGTGGGGGGAGGAGAGCTGTCAGAGAAGGTAGTGTGGATGGTGGGGGGAGGAGAGCTGTCAGAGAATGTAGTGTAAATGGTAGAGGTGAACTGTCAGAGAAGGTAGTGTAGATGGTGGGGGAGGAGAGCTGTCAAAGAATGTAGTGTAGATGGTGGAGGAGAGCTGTCAGAGAATGTAGTGTGGATGGTGGAGGAGAGCAGTCAGAGAATGTAGTGTGAATGGTGTGAGGTGAACTGTCATAGAATATAATGTGGATGGTGGAGGAGAGCTGTCAGAGAAAGTAGTGTGGATGGTGGAGGTGAGCAGTCAGAGAATGTAGTGTGGATGGTGGAGGAGGAGAGCTTTCAGAGAATGTAGTGTAGATGGTGGAGGTGAGCTGTCAGAGAATGTAGTGTGAATGGTGTGAGGTGAACTGTCAGAGAATGTAATGTGGATGGTGGAGGAGAGCTGTCAGAGAATGTAGTGTGGATTTTGGGAGGAGAGCTGTCTAAGAATTTAGTGTGGATGGTGGGGGAGGAGAGCTGTGGGAGAATGTAGTGTGGATGTGGATGGTGGAGGAGAGCTGTCAGAGAATGTAGTGTGAATGGTGGGGGGAGAGCTGTCCGATAATGTAGTGTGGATGATGGAGGAGAGCTGTCAGAGAATATAGTGTGAATGGTGGAGGGAAAGCTATCAGAGAATTTAGGGTGGTTGGTGGAGGAGAGCTATCAGAGAATGTAGTGTGGATGGTGGGAGGAGAGCTGTCACAGAATGTAGTGTGGATGGTGGAGGAGAGCTGTCAGAGAATGTAGTGTGGATGATGGAGGAGAGCTGTCAGAGAATGTAGTGTAGATGATGGAGGAGAGCTGTCAGAGAATGTGTTGTGGATTGTGGATGTCAGGGTCCTGTCCACGGCAGTAATCTGCATCACTGCAGAAGTACACATCAGCCTCAGTTTGGTGCCAGGCGGCCTTTATAAGGAGGCTCATCACATCCTCAAGTTGCTGGATGATCTCTAGCTCCCCGAGCCCTGTTTCTGGCTCCTGTGATTCTGACCCGTGATTTCCTGTTACCGACTCGGCTTGCTCCTGGACCTGTCCACTCTGCCTTACCCCTGATCTGACCTCGGCTTGGCTTACGGATACTCTCTCTCTCGCTCCTCTGTGTATGACCTCGGCTATCCCATCTGACTACGACCGCTCTGATTCCCACCCGGTACCTGACCTTGGCTTGAACCGACTACCCAGTAAACATCTAAATCCCGGAAGGGCTTGCATACCACGCACAGGCGCCTCCTGTCTGCAGACCTCATCTCCGTGCACCAGCTGTGCTTCTGAGTGGTCTACCAACCAGCACTCCTACAGGTGACCTGTGCAACTTTGGGCCTGACTCCCGCTGTCCCACTCTCAGGGGAGTCCGGAACTTAGCTGCAAGGGAAGCCCTCTCTCCATCGGCCTCCATCACCAGGTACGTGATAGTGGAGGAGAGCTGTCAGAGAATGTAGTGTGAATGATGGAGGAGAGCTGTCAGAGAATGTAGTGTGAATGATGGAGGAGAGCTGTCAGAGAATGTAGTGTGAATGATGGAGGAGAGCTCTCAGAGAATGTAGTGTGAATGATGGAGGAGAGCTGTCAGAGAATGTAGTGTGAATGATGGAGGAGAGCTGTCAGAGAATGTAGTGTGGATGACGGAGGTTGAGATCTTCAAGAAATGCAGGGAAAATGTTTATGGAGATGATGTTATACCAATGATTCTCATTGGGTGGAGCTTTGGAAAGATGCTGGTGAGAGAAGGACTGCTTTGGAGGAGACAGAGAGACAACTCTGTAATCTGCACAGGGAGAGCTGACACACAGTCCATGTACGTAGCATCCTTGCCAATCTGAGTTATTAAAGAGAACATTTGAGTGATTTTAGTTCTGCTCACATGTAAGCACATCGGTTTCCTTGTCTAATAGAAATGTTTGATTGCGGAGAGCACTATGTTGTTTTTTTTGCCTTCACACTTTCTTTTGCCTGACACTCATTCCTCATTGTGGATACAAACACTGCAGTGATCTTCTCCTTGCCTTGGCTTTAAGGCACAAATGTGTGAGACCTTTCTGAGTTTGAGGTCATCCTTAGAAGGTGTAAGTGTGTCCTTAGGGGTGGTGGTGGATTTCACCTGAGAACGAGAATTGATCTCAAAGAGCATGAGCCTTTATATATGGGAAGCACCAGTTTGGTTGTTCCAATGTTTTGAGCTCTGGTGACAAGGAAGGATTATGACATACAGGTAGTGTCACATTCCTCATTGTGTTTGGCACATCATTTGTTTTCCATAGACTTGATGAACGTGGTTGATACATTGGATACAATTGTGCTCTGATTCATTATTGTGTATTCATTGGATTTTGTTGCTTGCAGATTTTCACGTGATTTTATCCATGATTGTCATTGTAAATATTATAACTCAGTTGTATTGTGTCAGGAGTTAAGTCTTTCAGCTTCCTCCTTCTCCAGCCAAGGACTCCTCGTTCACCAGGAAATGAAGGACAAATGTTCCTTCTGTCCCAGCTTCTGCTTCCTTATGTAACGTTCTTCAGGTTGGACCCGTCACTCTGCCAGATGAATCCTGAGTCCCGGCTGCCAGCAATGGGGATGACATGAAAACCTTCTTCTAGTTCTAAATTAAACAGATTTTTCCATAGCATACACTAAATATGTATATGAAGGACGACACCACCATGTTCCTCTGCAAAGCTGGATCGTATTTCTCCATATGGGACCACCAACATCGGAATGTGTATAGCAACCAGCAAAGCCTACTAGGAGGTTGTCCCAGACCTTCCTAAAGGTGCAGAACATTTGACATACCCAGACAGCGCAGCAGAAGACCTCTTCTGAGGGTCAAACACAGATAAATGACCCCTTATACAAACCCCAGTGTGCACTGACCTGGTGAGGTATGTATGGACGCTTTAACCCCTCGCCCTCCTGAGGATTTCCCCCCGTCCTGACCAGGCCATTTTTTGCATTACAGTTCTGCGTTACTTTAACTGACAATTGTGCAGTCATGCAACATCGCACCCAAATGAAATTGATGTCCTTTTTTTCCCCACAAATAGAGCTTTCTTTTGGTGGTATTTGATCATCTCTGCGTTTTTTATTTAAAAAAAAAAAAAAGACTGACAATTTTGAAAAAAAACCTATATTTTTGACATTTGCTATTAAACATTTCCAGTAAAAAAATGAAAAAAAATCTAATTTTGTCATAAATTTAGGCCAAAATGTATTCTGCTCTGTGTCTTTGCTAAAAAAAATCCCAATACGTGTAAATTAATTTGTTTAAATGAAAGTTATAGCGCTTACAGATAGCGGTATAGATACTGGGATTATTATTTTTTTTTTGCTAGTAATGGCGGCAATCAGAGACTTATAGCGGGACTGCGGTGGGCATTCTGACACTGGGGGGGGAACTGACTTGGTGTCACTGGCATCCCCAAATGACACCAATACAGTGATCAGTAAAAAGAAAAAATAGTGAAGCGCTTATATCTCATAAATAAATAGAATAAAGTGCATACAAAAAAGAATTATTAAAAATAAATTAACTAGTTGCCGATCGCAGATAGCCGAATGACGGCTTCACTGCGGCCGGCCAGTTCTGGGTGGACGTCATATGACGTCCCCCCAGAACGCGCTCTCCTGCGCGCCCCAGGGGGCGCGCACCCGGCGATCTCCGTGATCGCTGTGTCCTACGGACACAGCTGATCACGTGATGTGGTAAAAGGCCGATCCCAGCGGCCTTTTACCACGTGATCAGCGGTGTCCAATGACACGCTGATCACAGGGAAATGCAAGTGCCGGTTCTCGGCTGCACTTTCCTCACGTTGTTAGATCGTGAGGAAAGTACTGCCGAGAACCGGCAGTTGTCAGAGCGGGGATCGGCACCGATCATCAGGACACTGATGATCAGTGCCCTGAT